AGCGACACCACAGGCACATTTGTTTTATTTGCGAGTAGATCATGTCACAACATGCATTATTTGTTCATTGTTACATCAAATTGTGTTACTAATAGTCCTTATTACTAAAAAATATTACTGTTTGTATCACTTTATATGAAAACTGTTTGCCTAGATCAGACGGCAAACTTTTACAAGTGGTGGTCAGCAAACACAAAACAGTATCCAAGCCTGACAGAATTTGCTAAGATTTATCTATCGTCTCCCGGCAGTAGTGTATATAGTGAGAGGCTATTTTCAGAAGCAGGTATAGTTTATGAGGAAAAGTGCAATCGTTTGCTATCAACAAATGCTGGAAAAATTGTTTTCATTCATCACAACTTACCACTGATAGATTTTAAGTATTAAATGTAATAATTTGTGATTAAAATAAGTACGTTTTTGAGAAATGTGTGGTTTTTTTTTTTTTTTTAATGATTTGGTATTCGGCCGAATACCAAATATTAAAAAAAGTAGCCAAATAGGCCAAATACTGAATAGTAGCTGAATATTCATGGCATCTCTAGTATTTTGTATATTTTTATATTTCTGTTTATAAATCTGTTGTTAATAAAAATTATTAATTAAAAGTTATTAAATTTTTAATTAATAATTTTTTTGATATTTAAATATCTTATGATATGATATAGTAGTATTTGATATTATTGAATATTTGACTATTATTATGATCTTTTCCAATATTGAAGTCAGAAAAATGAATACTGACTAATATCATCATCAATGTTTGACTTTACTGATATCAGAAGTTAATATCAGAATTTACAAAGTTAAAAAATTTAATGACCTAATGCTAATGTACCTTAAAATTGAAATTGCTAACAAATTTCAATCAATTGAATTACAAATTTAATTTGTAATTTAAGTTTTAAGTTTGATTCCAGTATGAAGTTAAACTATTTTTAACTGATCTCTTTGCATTCCTGTCCATTTAATGTTTAAAAATTGAAATTATGCTTTTGATTGGCTGACAAATTTCAACTGTAAACAAATATGAATTTGAAAATTAAATTATTTCCAAAATTTTAAATTTCAAATTTCTTGTTATGATTGGTTAGAAAAAATTAGTTGACTAATGGTGATTTCAAAAATAGTATAAATAGGCAGTCTCTAGGCAGTCTGTTTGGTATCTCTACTTTCTGATGAAATCATTTGCTATTTTATCATATTGTAAGTATATTTTATGTTTTATATACCATATTGGCCTGATATTAATCAATGTTTTTTTAAATCTTGAATTAATAAAATCTATAAGATTTTTAGATCTTAGAAACAATAATATAGTAATTTTGAAATAAAACTGTTTAAGTACTGCAATTTGTTGTATCTGTAATTGATATTGAATTTTTTGATTAATAATCAATATTTTGATAATATTGAATGACATATTGTGATATAAACTGTGTGATGTCGTCATAAATTTACATGAATAGCATCATTGTATGGGATAAGCAGCACATTAAAGATGCAAGACATATTTCCAACAAAGAAAGAAAGAACAAAAAGAAGGAACAGAGTTTTATTTTAGTATCATTAAATTCTAGAAAAACAATACAATCAAGAAGAATGAATTTTCATATGAATTGATTTCAGCTTTAATACTGTCAGGGAATTGCCCTTATCAAGGTAACTCATTCAGTATTCAATAACTTTACTAGAAAAGTGTACCAAGCATTCAATTCCCAACCAAGGCATCTTAAGGAAAAGATATGTGCAGCCTGCATGTGAAGCAACTTTTAAAAAAACACAGGAAGTAGTAGGAAACAATCCAGTTTTGTTTTATTTTGGATGAAACAATAGATGTACTAAAAAGGCATGTGCTGAATGCTCTTATCAGTCTGTTAACAAGGGAGCCAGTGCAACCCATGCTATTAAGGGTTTATGAATTAGACAAATTTCATAAGTGTTATGCAAGCCTTCAATAATTTGTGCCAAATTATGGAACTCTGTCATAACATATGAAAATGTTTGGTTACTTGTAACAGACCAGACATCATACATGCTAAGTATATGGTCAAACATAAAAAGTTGATGTATCTGAATATGAGGCAATGAAAATCTTTGATTAAATGTCCTGCAAATGTATTATACATCTATATAAAGAGATAACTGACTTTCCACTCCCAAAACAACTTGTAATAAACAGGTGGGCACAAGGATTGAGGTGGCTTGTTTTATGTCAAAAATTTCTAATTTATGGGAGCAATCATTGTTAAACTGGATGAAAAGTCAACAATGTTTATGATGAAATTCGAGACTGTTGAGACAAGAAGCAATATTAAAGGAACTGCACACTGTTCATTTACACAAGTTTCTGAACAGTTCAGTTTCTAAGCTTGAAAAAAGTGGTCTGTCTACTGAGAAGCAGCGAGAGATTTTTAAACGTGCCAAAAATCAGTTAGATGGATTTGCTTTAGAGAAACTGGAATATTCCCTGAGAAAACATTTGGATATTCAAAATTTAATTCCAGTCTCTTCAGTCAAAAAAATCTAGTTTTAGTGAAAACCAAATATTCCTACTTTTACATCTTTTGACATTCAAAGATTGTTTCCTGAATTCAAAGATTTACTTTCCTCATGCCATCTAAAGCTTTATTAATGGCAGCAACAGTATTGTTTGTAAGAACTACATTTGTTTGGCTGAGACATGGCAAATTACTTATGCTTTCTCAGCAGCTGTGGAACGTGCAAATTTATTCTTTCACTGTTGTTTTTGCAACACATTTTTCTCTGTATACTGCCTGCAATCTACAGTGAATGTTGGCTGGCTGGCTGACCCTCCCCTCTAGTGCTTAAAAATTAAATTACTACTTGGTCGTCTTTAGACAGATTGATATACCATATGTAAATGCAATGCCTGCAACCAGGGATTTTCTTCAGGTTGACATTTTGCTGCTTTGCTAGCATTTGCTAGTATTTATCCCAGTTTTCCCATGGAATGTCTCTGACTGGTTTTATTTGATTAAGCTTAATATCAATTAAAACATGGATTGACAGTTAAATAGGAATGAACTAAGTAAAAAGTTAAATTTAAAAACTCACACCAAGCTTTGTATAGTTTCTGGATACAAATTCACTGAGTTCAGCGTTAATAACTTCATACTACCCATAACCCCCCCGACCAAACCTACGCAGGTGTATCTGCAACAATCGGGACAGGTTAACCACTTTAGAAAAGTCAGGGGTTTACACAATACACCTAGAAAATCTGTCAACGGGAGCTATTACAACATACATAGGAGCAACAACAAGAATATGCGCCTCCCGCCTTGTTGAGCATCAGGATGACGTAGCCAAAGGAAGATGTTCTACAGAGCTCGCTAAAAAAGTTCTCGAGCAAGGCTACAACCCGTTATGGCCCAGAACAGCGATAATTAAATGCTGCAACAATCGAAGACTGGTGTTCATCTGGTGTTCATCTGCTTCAGAAGCGTGCAATGTTCCTACCCTCAATCTACCCAGGGTGTGGATAGCCTTGTATCAGCATCTAAAAGACGAAACGCACCTAACATTGTATCGCCAACGCAGTAGCATTTCCACGCATGCGCTGCTAGCATTGTAAAATATAAGGATTCAAACATATCAAAAACTAGTTGTACGTTCTTAACGGAATTTCCGGACACCTGGTTTGAATTTATATATTCTGTTCCTTTGGAACATCCTGCACATTTGTTTTGTTAAAATTTGTTCTTTTCACCTGAAGACGACAGTTATACACTCATCAAAAGTGCTTGTGTTAATACTAAAGGAACTTTATTAACGCTGAACTCAGTGAATTTGTATCCAGAAACTAGGAATGAACTAATTGTGACATATATGTATTGTACATATATTTGGTAATTTCTGCCAGGTGTTTTTTCTGTCATGGTACCACTACAAACGAACCTAATGATGTTGGGGTGTTAATGACAAGCTATGCATGATTATGCATGCAAATCTGCCTCTGCTAGTTATCTGTAAATGATATAGAAAGAGTATAAGAAAGGTTTTATAGCAAGGCTTCCACATATCTTTGGACTATAGATAAACATGCCATTGTAATTGTTTGTGCTTGTCTTATAATTATTCAATTCTCTCTTTAGGTGGTGGTTTGTTTGGAATGTCCTGAGCCTGTTTGCCATGTATGTGTTCTCTCATGTATCCACAACTTTCAACACTTTATCACAATCAGATCAGAACAGCCCAGGTGGAAGGCAGTTTAGTGAAATGACTATCCTGCTTTCCTCATCCTGATGTGGCCTTTCTCAAACTCTGCTAGCTGTGCATAATGTATTTGCATCTTACAAACATACTTGACATTTGAAGACTTCCAAACACCATGTACATTAAATGTTCTGAACACATTAAGCCTATGCAAGATTTTTTATAGGATACTTGAGTAGTGATTTTAAGGCACCCTGGTAGTATTGTTTGGAATGCAAATTGACCACAACTGTACCACATTTACAAACCTGTTTGAGATATAGCTTATGCATGAGTTTTACAGTAATCTGACAATTCTTTTCAGGTTCATAACATTTTTTATTAATGAATGTATAAAGCAGAACTTGATAATTTCTTTGAGATTATTTTTCTTATTGGAGTAAAAGTGATCTTGTGAGATTCTTATAAAAGTAGCCACACATTTTATAATGAATCTCACCAAAGAATTGAAAGTTTCTTAAAATTCCTAGAATGTGTCCATCTATTTGCTCATTCCTTACATTTAAATCATTTTTGCTTTTATCAGTATAGTTACATCTTATCAACTTTCATTTTTTAGTTGTGTCTAATATTATGTTCAGAAGTGTAAAATATTTTTATTTAAATTTTTCCAATTTTTTTTTATTATATAATAATAGTTTTAAAAAGTTTTCATAATGTAGGACTTAAATTAATACATTATTATATTGTTTGTTTTTGATTTGAATTTATTTGCTGTTTGTGTAAAAGTAAAGATTTAACATTTGATTTTTAATATTTAGGTGGATTTTGCTAGTCGTGAATGTCAAACAGCATTTTTTGAAAAAATGGAGATGACTGGACAAATGCTACCAGGAGAACGACCATGGGAAAGAAGAGAAAGACGAGGAGAATTTGAAGTCATCCGAGATGATCGGTATGGCAGGTGTGTTGACACTAGCATGAAATTAAGATATTTAAAATAATAATTGCAATCAAGTTTTAATGATTTTTGAGGCAGAGCATTAGTGAAGCCTTTTCTGTGTGGCTTATAAAATTGAATTCATTCTCAAAATTTGATTAGTCAGTTTTGATTAAATTTTGTCATTTTACATGATATGAGATGAGGAAATTAAAAATGTAACAAAAATCAGGGGTTCATGATTTTATTTTCAAGATACAATTGGGTCAAAGTGACAATATCCAAGTGTGCTAGCATGAGCATCTGCAATTTTTTAAATTTTCTTTTAAGCCAGCAGTGACATCACTGCCATGATAGTGGCAAGCGATCATAGGTGGCCCCTGAAGCAATACAGGAAATCTTTGTTAATTTGAACTCATATAGTTCAAAATTCCATTAGTTTGTAACTGTGTTACCGCTAAAGCTCGAAACTCGTTAATCTGTAGATTAACTGGCATGATCCGTTAAAGTTGTGAAAATTGTTCCATTTCTCAAATTACCTAGATAATGTGCAGAGTATCTAGGTAATCCGCACATTACCTACTAGGCTCTCGGTAAAGTGAAAATAAGATCTTTGCCACAAATAAATGTACCACAAATAGGTGTGCTTGTCGCAGAAACCAATTGCTATGAAATTCAAAGTGTCACCAATCTTTAGACTGCACAATTGGATAATGTTACCTATGGTGGGTAAAATGGCAGCTAATCTCTGATTCCAGCAAAGAGAAGAAAGGAAACAATGGGGACGCACGTTCAAACCTAACCTAACCTATTCGAATAATTTGGTTGGTAATAATTATGGTAATTTATTAAAATAGGTTAGGTTAGGACAGAACGTGCATCCCCACTGTTTCCTTTCTTCTGTTTGCTGGAATCAGAGACGAGCCGCCATTTTACTCACCATAGGTAACATTAACTGCACAATTACATCATGCAATCATCAGAAAAAGTATGATAACTTTATTATTTTTCATCTCCAGTCCAAAAGTAGGGTATCGTTGAAGTCATCTCAGTCCCCTCAGTTCAGATAGATACTCAAAGTCCCAAAATTCCATAGGTGGTTATCTATATAATAATTTCCCTAATTGTATTAATATTTTAAATCGTTTGATTTTTTGTATGTTTTTTAATTGGTTGATGATTGATTTTATCAACTAATTTGTTGATTGTTTGATTGTATTAACTTGATTCTTTAGATATCGAAAATTAAATAAAGAACATTATGTTAATTTAAGCGTACAGAAACGTTGCTGTTGTTTCAGCAAAGATCTTATTTTCACTTTATCGAGTGCCTAGTAGGTAATTTGCAGATTACCTAGATAGTCTGCACATTACCTAGGTAATTTGAGAAATAGAACAATTTTAGCAACTTTAATGGATCACGCTAGTTAATCTGCAGATTAACGAGTTTCCGAGCTTTAGCGGTAACAACTGTACTTTTTTCCAGCCGAGGATATAGAGATTTATATGTTAAAGAATTTGATTAGTTTGAAATACAGCTACTTTGAAAATCAAAGAAAAAATTCTGTCTGAACCATAATATTAATATGTTAACTTGTTCATTTAACACATTTTGAGTGTCACCTTACCCATGGACTAGTCTTTTTTTTCTCTTATCTCACAAAATATGGTGGGTTTTTGGGATTGCAAGATTGGGCTATAATTGGATAGCAGATTGAGATATTTGCAGGGCTCTAGGCTACTACATTTTTGGGCAACTTACTACTTTTTCAGTCACTTTAAAAATAATTTAGGCTATATTTTGAGGAATTCTGCTTTACTTATTATAAAACTTATCTGGTAACTTGTGTGGTTCTCACCAGACACGTGCTGTTTATCTGCAGTTTATTTATATTATTATTATTATTAATTAATGAAAATAGCATTCTGTATACGTAGCCATATTCCATTTGCTTAATAAATACTAATACAACAGTTAAATGGCATATTGTGCAGAAATATGTAAATCTTGGATAATTCAAAATGTAATAATTCAAAGTTGTGAATATTTCATTCCTTGAAATTTAAATTAACAAGGATTTCCTGTATTATTTATTAACTTGCTAGTGCTTCAACTCAGTTCTTACTATATGTTTGGACAGAAAACAAATTATGTTTAGTTGTATTTTACACAGAAAATAGGAAAAATATTAGATTCCAATGTGTTACTTCCAAATGTATAATTTTTTAAAAATTTAAATAAAATATCTGAAGATGTAGTAGGACAGATTAAGTTATTTTCTAATTGTAAAAAATTAATTTCAAAGAAATAAAGGGCAAGAGTTGTTTTTATTTATCATCATGTTTCTTAATTAATATTCATATAATTTGAATCAAAATTTCACTAAAGCAAAAATTTTTTATAAATGTATAGGATTAACAAAACCAAAGAATCAGAACTTAACTTGCTATTTTTATGCTATAATTTAATCAAATTGGTAATGAATTTAGTGATAAAAGTAGACAATGCCCATTACCTTGTATTAAATTTAATTATCTGAATTAATTAATAAATAAACAATCAGACCATTGTCAATTACAGGATAAAAGATGAAACTAAGAAAGTTTCTTTAGTAATTAAAAAATTTATTCAGATTATTAAATTTAATGCATGATGGATATACCGTTTACCTTAAATACAAATTCATTACTAAATTAATTAAATTATGTGATTAATTAAATTATGTGAGCAGTGATTTCCAAACTTTTTGAGCCATTGCCTGTTGGTTCCATAAAGTTATACTTAATGCCTTCTAACCCATTTTCCCTTGTTGAGAAAGATTTGGAAATATTCTTAGAAAACTTTTCTGTGAAATTCACACTTTATGTCCTTATCATATATTGTTATCCACATTTGGAAACCATTAAATACAATATTTCTTCTTACTCATTTTAAAAGAGGAAAGAGAAAGGTTGTCAATGACTCCAACTTTTGCTTGTGTTCAGAACCCTTCCTCCAGCACCCCCTGCTGCCCACTTGCTTCTTTTTACCCCCTAGATTTACTCATCACCCAGAGGGGAGCAGTAGTGCTCACTTTGGGAATCACTGAATTAGAGCATACAAATAACCAGCAAAATTTCTAGCTTTTGATTGTATTATGATTTCAAATATCAAGTTTTTTATTTTATGAATTTTTTATAATAAATAATTAGTAATAAAAATCAATTATTGAAGTTATATTCTTAATGTTTAGTTTGATATATTACATATGTTTTTATTTAGTATTACTGTAACATCCAAATAATAAGAACTAAGTTGACTTTGTTAAATTTTAAATTATTTTGATGTAAGTTAATGTTTTATCATATTTAAGTTAATTTATTAGGAGAAATCAATAAAACATCAAATTTTTAAAACTTTGATTGAATTTTTAAAGCTTTTTTAAAAAAGTTATAAAATATTGTAAGATTAAATATGTATATTTATTTTATTTGTTTATAAATTTGGATAATATAATTTAGAAAAATGCAGTAATAAATTTCTTATAAAATAACTCTTTTAGCTATCCAGATTAATATAATTGATTTTTTAAAATTTATGCATGTTTTATGTTGCATTGGTAAAGATTAAGTATGTATTATTAATAAATAAGTTAAAAGATGCAATAAATTACATTTTTTAGCAGCCAAAATATAACTTGAGATAATCTGACATTTATACTTTGATTAGTAATATTGTTGGGCATGGTTATTTGTATATTTATAACACACAAAATTACGTTAACTTGAAGTTTATATTCAAAATAAATTACACTATTAAATTAACTTATTTTATTTTCTATGCTCTTTTCTAATATTAATTAATTTTTTTTATGATATGCAATTATTATATGTTAAATTAAAAATATCTTTGTTTTGAATTATATTTCTGAATTTAAATTATAAAATAAATTAATAAGAACTGAAATGATGATATTTTCATTTTAATTTTCTAATGCCAAAATTAATAAACAATTTTCAGGGAAGCACGAGTTGGATTTGACAGTAGAAATTATGCTAGATATGATAACCAGCAACGTGTAACGAGGGGAACATTTTCACGTGGAACTTTACGAGGGACTTACACTAAAGGAAAAAGTCAGGGATTTCCAGGAAGATTTGATCCTTATCATGAAGAATTTGGAGATAGATGGCATAGGTATATATATATATATTACTTTATTATAATTGTGTTTCTTGTTATAA